TATAAGAACATTTTTGAATGCATGAATGAATATTCTTTATTACACATTAAAATTACCATGACAACACAGAACAGTAATGAAAGCATCACAGAGTAAGCCAATGTACAACAGGCGGCCTTATTTCTTCTACTAAGTACCTATTTCTTCCAGGCAACCTTAGGATATAAATTTAACAGTTGCAAATGGATGTGCAACCAAAGAATATCGTGTAATGAAAGCGTTTTAAATAAATAAACTACTCATCAATAAAGTAAATATATGTATAAATAATAATAATAATAAATACATACCTACATTATTAGAACGTATACATAAATATTAACATATAATAATAAGGTTACTTTAGTTTTATAATTTTGAAATAAGAGTATTTATTACAAAACAAATAAAATAGCAATAATAGTATAATACTCCACTTGATAATTAGCAACCATACCGTACATAGCGCTAGCGCTATCTAACGCTGACAAGGGGAGTTTGGAAATAGCCACCCCGTAAAGATAGGGAGTTTCGAAATGGCCACCCCGTAAAGATATAACTTTTTCTCACGAAAAAATGTCAAAAAATTACACTATCACTACCTACCTACTATCATGAAGAAAAATTACTATCTAAGGTCTGACACTATGGCCTATTAGACGCCTTCGCCTCTCCCGAAGGATGAAAAAATTTTAATATTAATACTGACAATGTTGCCACAATGTTACTGTCGAACGTCAAAACATCAAAATCCGTCAACAAAAAATTCCTTCTTTCATTTGAATCAATTATTGAGTGACAAATAAAATACGGCCCAAATAAATTACTTAATATTTTATAGCCGGATTAAAAAAACCGCCACATAATTTTTCGCCCATATTTAGTGGTAAACCACACTGACGGCGGCTGTTAACATTATTAGCCCTGCTTAGGTATACCCATGCTAATAGAGCTATACGCACGCTACACACAAACTGAAACTGGGTAAAGCTGTGCATGCTACAGGTAATTTATACTTCACCTCAAAAAAATTTTATTTCAAAGGTAAGCAAATTAAACTTTTAATTGTTATGCTTTTGAAACTCTATTGGATGGATTCCCATGAGATGGACGAGCAAGAAACCGTTTCCCATTTCCATAACACAAGTGCTTTAGCTACTTACCTTGGGATCAGAGCAACATATGTCATGTTTTCTAATATTTAGTAGGTATCAAGTTTGAAGCGATGACCTTTATCCTGGCGGCGTCTTTATTAGTTGTTTTGTTTTGTTTGGTAATATACAGTTCATTCTATAATAGTTTACTTTAGTTTATTTCTCTCAACAATTACAAATTACCAATTTCATACAGTTACGTGCCATTTCAAACTACTCTTCGAAAAGTGAGCGTCAGTTTACAAAATAATGAAGAAATAATTACACAATAGGGAGTCATAAGTAAACAATAGTGTACATATACAAAATCGACATAATTAATTAAACTAATAAATAGTTGAATTAAACTAACAATGTCAAGTGTATACAGGAAATGTCAATATGGATTCTTAATAACTAATAAATCATTTAATAAATGTATATTACAGTATAACAATACAGTGAATGTCCAGTTCATTAATAAATATAATAATTTAATTTAATTTAATAAGCTTGAATAATTGACGTATTCTTTTAAAAAAGTATCCGAAAAATAAAGTGAACGAGAGAAAGTACCACGTCATCAACCCATCTATACGTCCGACTGCTGGGCACGGCTCTATTGTCAGGCAAGGGTTTAGTCCATAGACCGCCACTCTGGCGTTACTACATTTTCCGAGAATTGTGAACCTTCTTTGATGTGCAAGTTTCATCACGATGTTACCCTTCATTGCTCATAGTAAATTTCAAATTAAATTTCGAACATAAATTTCGAGAAGCTCAGAGCGAGCCCGAATTCGAAGCCAAGACATCTGCTTGGGAGGCGATATGTCAAACCATTAAGCTACCAAAGCACGGCGAGAGAGAGTCAAATAGTATAATTAAACAAAGGAAAGTTCATAATTATATATTATGTCTTACGTTATTATTTACACACGTGCGAGTCGTTTATTCTAACTGATACTTGAATAAAATTTTACAAATTCATTTGACATTTTAAAAATAAACACTGATATTAACATTTTAAGGTTTAAGTAAATCTACTAAGAATAGCTCCAAGCGTTTTGCTACGTCATTAGAATTATACGTAGTGCCTTTAACTTTATTATAGTTAAAAGGTCAATGTTAAACGCTAAACTAACTTTAGAGGCGCAATAGTAGTTAACTGCTAAATAGTTTAAAAACTTTATTATCAAACGAACGTTTTTTTATCAAGGAGTAGTACATTTTATAGTACTGACACACTTTTTATTTATAGGTTTATTGCTAACGATGAGTCGTCTCGGTTTTTTTTATAGTATCAAGTGACGGGACGAACAAGTGGTGCGCCTGATGGTAAGTTACACGCCTGTCCATAACAGTTGCAGTGCAACTCAGAGCTTTAAGTCGCAAAGTTCTGAGGGTCACTGCCACTGCGCCCGTTGCCCTGAGACATAAGTTGACAAGTCCCATGTGCCTGTAATTTCACCAGCACCCTTACCCTTCAAAACTGGAACATAGTAATGCTGACATTACTGTTTGGCGGACGAAATAGGTAAGGTGGCAGTACTACTAAATGTTCAGTATCCACACTTAATATTTTGCCCCAATTTGTACCCACACGTAAGTGTTTTCTATTAATGTATTAACTCGTTTAGTATTAAGACCAATAACACTGTTATATTACATAGTAGTAGTAGGAAAGTACTGCTACCTAAGCTATTACTGCCGCCAAATTTGGTTTTAAAGGGTAATTAATTAAAAGTGCTAGTGAAATTACAGGCACATGGGACTTGTCAACTTATGTCTCAGGGTGATGTGCGCAGTGGCAATCCCTCAGATCTTTGCCATTTTTAGCTCTGAGAGGCACTGCAACTGCTAAGAACAGGCGTGTCGCTTACCACCAGGCGCAAGACTTATTCGTCCCGTCATTAGATCATGAAAAAATCTAAACATCCGTTATTCCAGTTTGCTGGATTATTTTTTAATTTTTTGTAATTTTTCTATTGACTAACGTAATAACATACTTTTAACTTACTTTGCACGTTGGAAATTAAAAAATCGTATACGATATAATTGTACCTCGTATAAAAAGCTATTTCTGACGCAAATATTCCAAATTTGATTTGTCTTAACAACATCCGAAACACTCTGAATGATTACAAAACACTGTATCCTGATTTTCAATGTTTGAGATTGTCACGATAACATGCCGTTTAATTTGCGAAATGTAAAAATACAGCGTGTTCGGATTACATTACCTATTTCTGTTTTTTTTTCAATCCAAAAGTTTTTTTTTTCTAAAATATTATAATACATTTTAATCAGTTGTATTTCTATCACATTAATTACTTTTTGGTTGGTACATGGTATTCATGCAACTCATGGTATGCATGCAATAGCTTTAGAACGAAAATACGACCGAAACAATCCGCCAGAATTGTTTGCTTTATTGACTTAAGGATTGTTAACTTATGGAGATAACACATATAGACATGCCAACATCGTAATTATTTATTAAATCATACGTAGATTAAACTATTCATTTATCATATTGTAAGGAATTTCGATTATCGTGACATGTCAATTTATGCATTTGACTTTAATTCATTTAATAAGTACATGTGTAGATATTATATAGGTACGTAGTGATTATCACTAATTACAGGTTTCTTACCGATTAGTGACAATTGTTTAGGTCATAACCACGAATGCCTGACAATCTATAAGTACGTAGTGTTCAAGGTCATATAGCAGTAGTACCCACAGAGCTCCTTGTGAAATAGTACGTCTAACGTACGTACGTACGTTTATAAGTATTATTGAAAACATAATCTTTTTTTTAACTTTTAAGTCTGCCCTAGTGAAATAATATTCATTTGCATTAAGATACAATGAATCGTAAAATGTACGTCCGTGACCGGCAGTAGAATGTGTGTAAGTTGATATTAGCTATAGTCAGTACAAATATTTTATATTAATTATTAGGTCTGCCATTAAATTATAACTTAAGTGAAATAAACTTACTTTTTAAATTCTGTACGCCTAAAGTATTTATTTTGTTTACTAAGTACCGATCTATTATAATTGAAGAAGGATATATAATATTGTTTAAATAGCCTGTTATGTAAACTTTAAGGGTGTATATTTGTATTAAAAAGTATGTCCAAACGCGAAAGCCTTTTTGCCACAAAAAAGCATCAATGTATTCTCATATTAATAATCGATCTAGATGATGCATGAAAATCTATTCGTACACTTAAGTAGTCGGAACGGGATTGTTTTACTGCCGCACCTAACTTTGATCAACTTGAACTTGAAAATAAAATATGCACAGCTATATATGTGTATTTTGATAATGCGAGGATTAAAGAAACGGGAAAGTAATGTTTGTCGGGAAAACTTACGTATGCGTGTCACTGGCCTACTAATTGTCAAATCCATCAACTAATTATCATTGCTTTTACATGAGTGGTTAAAGTAAATTGCTCAACATTAGGTACTTACGACTGGGGAAATATAGCTACATATAACTCGTGTAACGTACATTTTATATAATGTTTTCCAGTACTGTTATATCGTATAAAATATCGACGAGAACTAAAGTAATCCCCAAACATATCAACTGATAAGAACAGAGTCAATCTCCTCTTGAAAAAATATACTCCATTTGGCGTGTCCAAGAGCGATGCTATCGCTTGAACCAGAGAAAAACATATTTTAAAAACAATGAAGGGTATTCACTTTTATCAACGCATCTTCTCTCGAGGGGTACTGAAAGGCCGTGTTGAATAGCAGCCCCTGCGGGCACGCCGGCAGACTATCAGTTCAGTGAATGGCTATTAACCACCTCGGGCGAAGATAACGCTGAAAGGCGACATTATCCTGTCGAGTGTTTGCTCTCATTACCTGCTCCTCGTTGTCGACCTGCTGCAGCGTCATCGGCTCCGACACAACCCGCGACTTATTCACTGGTGCGCCACTCTCACTCACTGCACTCTCCACCATGTTCTGCCCCTCGATAACTTCCCAAGGCACGTCGCTGCTATACTCCGCGACGTTTAGCAAAGAAGGCCCAGAGTGGAACCTCCAGGGCAGGTCCGTACCGCTTTGCCGCGGACGACGCCGCTTGTGCCGCACTTTGTGTCTCGTGAACCTCCCAAACTCCACTCCGTACTCCTGCAGCATATCATTGTAGAGCGAATCCAAGTTAACTTTTACGTTGCGATGTTTAATAACACGCCGAGTGGTCGTAATTGTCGGAACTTCGGTTGTGATTGGCTCTCTGCTGAGGCCCTCGTCATCCCAAAGTTGTATCCGCAGTATATTATCATGCGACGGTATGTGGGCGCGCGTCGCAAGCGCGAGTGTCGCGAGTGCGAGAGCGAGCGCGCGCGCGGACCCAACCATCTCTCACGGCGGCCGCGGGCCTACTGACTAACTCGTCTCGCTTTTCCCGCGATTTCCCGATAAGGGGCTACGAGTGTAGAGCTACGGGCGCCGCACGCATTCGGCATCAACGGCACTCCTTGGCGAGATAATTATCGCTACGAAGCGTTATCGCGACATATTTGATGATAAGAGAACATCGCACCTATCCAACACGCATCCAAGGTCGACACACCGCCTCTCAACACGGGTTTCGTCGATAAATCGTTCAAATGAAACAAAATTTTTCAACTAAGTAAATATAATCTATTATGAAATAGTAACACAATTAATTGTGATGTGACAACCGATACAATTGATTACTTTAACTACAAAATAACATTTGTACTTTACAATTTTTAAGCGAAATGCACAATTGATATACGGTTTTTGGTAATAAAATTAGACAAACTTTAACTTATGTTAAAAAACGTCGGCAACAGAAATAAGTAAAGACAAGTCTCTATCAACATTTGGCAAGACAATATTGCACTAATGGAACAACGTAGAAAAATAAATAGTACAAAATATAACAAAAATAGTGTGATCTATAAATTAGTATAATAAATAATTTCATATTTTTGGATACATCTTTATTTAATCTGATTCACATTAAGTACTGTAAATATTCATGTTCACCAGAATCTCACAAAATTACGTATTAAGTATCTGATATTTTAATTGGTATATATATCTGTGACATTACCTAAGACTTTAATTTCTGTGAATTTAACAATTTAACTGTGAATGTTTAGTAGTAATATCTCTTACTAAAACGGTGAACAAAAACATCGGGATGATATATATACAGAATTTAAATGTTTCGCTGTTATTCACTAAATGATTATAACCAATTACAAGTTAAGAAACTTGTGATTGTACGTTACGTTATGAGTTATTTTTGTTTCCCTACATTTCGGAGCGGGTACCGCATTCCAGGCACTGAATAGTTTAAAACCATCTTCACGGTTAAACGTTTGGTACTTTGTGATTTCGGTGGCTTCTCGTAACACACGTGATATGTAGTGACGTTCTCCGTCGACAGTTACAGTACTTGCTATAGTTGACTTCTTTCTTCCACAGAAGTCAGTCATAGCACACAACATCTTACACAAAATGACACTAACCACTTGATTGAGCTGCATAGCCTCCAAGTATCACGTTTGGTACGAGATGCCATCGAGATCACAAAGTACCAAACGTTTAACGGTGATGATGGTTTTAAACTATCCAGTAAGTGGAATCCGGTGCATACAATAATAACAACAAAAATGCTCCAACTTAAGTTTCGCGTGTGGATACAGTGAATGTGGTTTGTCGAAAAAAGTGAGTGACAATGCTAAAGATGAAGGTAGACGCCGACAGCGAAGATGAATTGGGTAATAATTATAGTAAATATGCCAAATAATCAAGTTTTCCGTGCTATACGAGCACTAAAGTAAGAAAAATTTGATAAATAAGTTCCAACTTCAAGGGTTCTTCTAATTTTTTTTTTCGTAAGATTCTGATCAACGAATAAAAACGTGTATGCATGTATTTCTACATTATCCTTTGGATTATAGTAAATGTTTAACATATGTACAAATATTCGAAACTACAACCTACACAAACACCTCATTTAATTACATCAATGCCTTAATCTATCAATAAATGGACATACAAAAACCACGAAAAAGATGTCCGAGGTTAACCTATACAAACGTAGTGACATGTAACGAAATATAAAAAACTAAAACATTTAATTTAAATTGTAACGTCATTGCAGTACTGCCTAAATTTGCTTACAACAATTTAAGGGCCCAAAAACACCATATTCAGCTTTTACTGGAAACTTAACAAAATGCGCCATATTTAGCTTCGACTCAAAATTACTTGAACACAAGAGTAATGGAATATAGCCTTTCTCGTAAATATTGATCAATTTTTTTATATATATTATTATGTCGAATTTTGTACAAATTCTAAACAAAAAAGTTGGGCACATACATACATACAATTATTACAAATGTGAAAATAAGAGTGTACTATAAGAAATGTACCAATGATGTTTATAATGATGCTTTTTACATAGACAAAATTAGCTTTTGTTTTGTAATCTTCGTAAAAACACATTATGAAAATTCGAGCTAATGTTATTTCGGGCAAATATATTTTCTGACTTCTGATAGGTAATCCCATGCCGTAAAACGAGTACAACAATATTTTGTTATTGCTAACGTTTATTAAAAAAATCATTTTAAAAATAGGATTAAATTCAAAGCAACTCTATAGTTTCTTTGTTCTAAATATTTCAATCGCTTGTGGTTCGAACAATTGAAAACGACCAAGAAGTTTATATAAGCTTCTTGAAACTGCCGTAATGGGTCTCTTTCCATCTTTTGCGCATGCAATGAGCAGAAAAAGGACAGTTAGCGATTTCATTATTTCGTGTGCTTTTGTAATTTATATTTACGATTCAGTTATATATAAATTAAATACTATAAAACTGTACAAAATAACACTTTTAAATGACAACTATGATAACACAATATATTTATTTAGTGAAAATATGATACAAAATCTTGTTTTCACACTTTACTGCAGTAATTTTTACAAGTTATTATTTGTACTGCATGATTGACAACCGCGCTGTCACTCGAACAAACGAAGACTATTGCGCGATTGACGCTCTGTATGCTATTTTAACGCCCTCCAGGTGCGGACACTTTTTAGCGCGAACCCGACGTCCATTTATTGGTAGGTCAATGCATCAATGGCCATATTTTATTCTATAGTGTGTAAATTACCTACAATAAATTAACGATGTGACACTGTTAAGTCAATGGTTCAAAAAATTTTCTATTCATTATAAGTACCATATTTTTTGTACTTAAATAAAAGGTCGATTGTAACGTAAATTTAGTCGTCTAATTAACTGACGTATTAACATATACATTATATTTTTAACTGTTATTCACTAATATGAAATATTCACAAATACATTGCAAAAAAGGACGGTCATATTTTGGCTTACAACGTATATATCTCTTACTAACAAATTACGCATTATAAGAGCCAAAAAACGATGTCTGTATATATGCCGAATATATTTAACAATACATGACTAATTTTTTTATTGTCATTTCTACACTAAACCCTTTATACATGATTTATACAAGTATCAAACAATTAATTATAATCTATTTTGAAACAAAACCGTGTATTTGTTAAATCTTTATTATTATGTAGTCAGGTTCAAAATGATCGGAATCGAGCGTCCAGATAACTTATTATTTTTATAATTTTATTGGCTCCGAGCGTAGATTTACATAAAAGTAACTCAATATTTAATAATAAAAAAAACAACAATATAACGTCATACAATTTGATAGGTGCGCGTTTTTCGCAGTTCAAACTAGGCCGCCTAGATGGCGTTTATAATAAAAAGAAATTTGTTATCGGACCTTATTTACCATTTTTAACAGACTTTAAAAAAAGGAGGATGTTTCGTTCGGCTGTATGTATGTTTTGCGATTTCTCCGTGAATTGTGGACCAATTTTGAATTTTTCTTTTTTGTTCTAAAGGGTGGTGGTCCCATTATCACCAAGTCAGAATCTGATGACGGGATCCCATGGAAGTGGAAAAAAACCGATAATAAACTTTTGAGGTCGGTTTTTTTCCAATGAAAAAGTTACAATTACAAATTATCATGTTATGTCATTGACTTACAAAAAAATGGACGACGGGTCTAATACAAAAACCACGAAAAAATGTCCCAAGTCAACCTATTTAAACGTATTGATATGTAAAGGAATATGTAAAAGCTAAAACGTTGAATTTAAATTGTAATGTCATCGCAGTACTGTCTAATTTTGCTTGCTTCGCTGTCAGAAGAAACAAACGACGACTAAAGCGTGAATGACGCTCTGTATACGATTTTCACGCCCTATAAGTTCGGACACTTTTTAGCGCGGACCCGACGTCCATATAATTGTAAGTCAATGTGTTATGTAATCTTATTTTAACAAAGCTAATCAATATTTCCCATCAAAACTAACTTTTACTTATTTTGTTTTAACGTTTGCTTTTAAATCAAAATGTTTAGCTCTGTTGTCTTTAGATTTGCTATTCTTTTATGAAATTAATTCAGTATTCAGTAAGTTAACACCATATTTATCAACAATGCTTCCTGGCAAATGTGAAAGTCATTCTCATTTCATTGAAAGAAGGTTTTATATTTTATGTGAAATTACAAATAATAAAACAATTTAAATTTTAATTATTAATACAAAGATCGAAACTTAGAAAAAATCCTGTGATTAATAATTATAACAAACTAGTGGCGTAATTTCCCAAAAAATAATTGAATATAATAAAAAATTTATTACATCGAAATTTAATTCAGATTTTGTTCATTTTTATACCACTGATTTTTATAGCATTTGACATTTGTATTTTCAGATCGATTTTATTTCATCGACGAAATAAATAAAATTTAATTATTAAATTCGCGGTGAAAGTGCGGTGAAGCTTGTATAAAAACCTACACAGAAAAAAAGGATTTCTACTAATAAGAAAGAGCAATTTCTCAAAATATTTGCTAATTCTGAAAAAATATTTATTAAAAGTAATAAAATATTGTCATTACAAAAATACTACTTATCTTTTTCTAATACAATTTTACTCTTAACTTTATTCTAACTTTTAGACAAATACGTTCACTTCAAGATTTTATTTCATTTCTAATCAATTAATTGGACGTTACTTACGTCAAGAAATTTTTACCTCTTACATCAAATTTAAATGATCTTAAATGAATTAAAAAATTTCTTACTTAAGTATTTGAGAAGGTTCCGTCTTATTTCTGCTACATTAAGGTTTGGCACTGAAAACTGCGTGCTTTCACGCCATTGAGACATACTGTTGGGTCCATAACCTTGTAAATTTACCCTTTTTGATATTAGAAAACCTAAATCTTAAGTCAAATAATTAAGTACCTCTCCATTTTGAATTCTTTAT